TGCATGGACTGACTGCTCAGGACTGACATGCAGCCCATATTTATTGGGATAGTGAAGGTAACTTGGGAGCTCTGGTGGCATAGTGCCTAAGGCATCTGACTGCTAACCAGAAGGCTGATGGTTCAAACCACCAGCCACTCCTCAGGAGGAAGACTGGGCAATCTACTTCTGTAGGGATACAGCTTTGGAAACCCAAGGAGAGGTCGCTATGACTCAGAACTGACTCAACAGTAGTAAGTTTGTTTGTTTTGCAGGTAACCCAATCTGACGGCTCCTTACCAAGACAATAATAATTCATTCTGATTTGTCCTCAGACATAAAGAAGCAGAATGTAATCTTCCAGTCCTTTCCCTTGAGCTGAGAAATGCTGCTCACAGGACAGGAATATATGCTAGTGTGGAATACACTCAGCTGCAAGTAAAGAAAGCCCAACTATAGTGGCTTAAACAGGTAGAAGTTTATTTTTCTTAGGCCCTATTTCCTTAGTTCTCCAGGACAGTTCCCCAGATGTTATGACTCACATTCAAAGGAGGAAGAAGGGGAAGTAACCTTGCTAAATCCATCTATCCCCTTACATCAGAAAAGCAAAAGCTTTTCAATAAATCACTCCTCTTCTAACCACAGAAAAATTCCTTAGGCAGAACTGGGTGAAATGTTTGACCCTAGCTGGAATGAAGCTGGGTAAGTCAGGAACAGGATAACCACACTGGATTACAAGAGCCAACCATAACTTTTTTCCTAGGACTGAAAACTTTGCCGCCCTGAACACACGTGTCATTCATTCAGGAAAAAAGATGTGGGAAGTAGGTGCTGGGCTGGCAATGAATGGTATCTGCCACACCTCTGTGACAGGGGTCCAGGCATCCATGAAACGTGCTTGCTGGCCCGTGAAAGTGTGATGAACCACATGCCCGGAAGGTTCTTTCATACGTATCCACTATTCAGTGGTTACCTCTCAGCTCGGGTGTTACAGGTCACTTCTGTTCAGCTGACTGAAGGCCTGTGACATGCGGTGAAGACAAGAACAGAACTCTAACTGAAACCTGTATACCAAGCGAAAGCCTTCCCAACATGGACCTCGGATTTACAAAAACAGTTTGTTAATCTTCGTTCATCTCATATTTTTAACCAGGTCAGAAAAATCTTCAAAAACCTCTAAAATTAAACTTTATTCTGCATCACTTTTTTCTCATGCCACAAAGATTAAGGATTTTTTAATCAACAACCTTAAGGTATTTAAAGTCTTGGAACACTGGTTGTTATGGATTGAAGTGAGTCCCCCAAAAGGTATGTGTAAGCCTGGACCCTTGTACCTGTGAAAATGACCCTGTTTGGAATAAGGGTTTTCTTTTGTTCGGTAAATGAGTTGACCAGGGTGGGTCCTACATCTAATCCCTTCTGAGTGGTGTCTTGTGAAAAGAGCAGAGCCGACACACAGGAGGAAGACAGATGCCATGGAAAGATACGTCAATAAGCCCAGGAACGCCAAGAACACTCAGTCAGAGAAGCGCAGCTGGGGGCCTGGTGATTCAGTGACAGGCTTCTCCCTCCCACAGGGGAGCCTCGGGTTCGATTCCCGTCCAGGCCCCTTGTGCACAGCCACCACCTGTCTGTTGGAGGCTTGTACGTTGCCATGGTGCTGAGTAGGTTTCAGCAGAGCGTCCAGACTAAGACGGACCAGCAGGAAAGGGCTGGCTCTCCACGTCTGAAAATCAGCCAGCCGGGAACCCTGTGGACCTCAGTGGGCCGATCTGCACCTGATCACGGGGATGGCACGAGACCAGGCAGGGTTTTGTTCCATTGGACTTGGCATCTCCATGGCAACTAATAATGACAACATAGACTACCAGCAACTTTGGATGCTAATCCAACCTCCCCACCAAGTGGTTGGAAATAGTCACACTGCAGGACCCTGAAGCCTGATCGGAAGGAGTATTTTGGGACATGTTTGTCCTGACTCAACGAAGCCAGCTATAAATTGCCCCTTCAGCCTCTTGAACTTACACAGCTTAGTGATGGCTCCAAAAGGGAACTTGTATGTTTTTTTGGTACTGATTCCTTAAAGCAGACTGGGCAAGTTGTAAGGTCTTGGGAAGAATCTCTGTCTCTTCCATGTTCACGGTCTTTAGGTTGGCCTTCCCATCTGGTATCGGGGGGCAGGTCTTCTCTGGGCATATGTGCAGAGGTACTGCCAGCCCTGGGTCTCAGCTACCAGCTGCCAGAGGTTTGCTCTTCATCAAAGACAGAACCTTCAGAGTCAACTCATTCCAAGTGACACTTGGTCCTCGCCAGTGTTTCTGGAAGGCTTTCAACGTTACAGCAAGTGATAGTCACCCACAGCTGCTGGGCCTGGGGTGGAGATGTCTAAATATTGCTCAGTGCCCAAAGCCTCTGAGTGCTTAGACCTAGACAGACAGCTCGCTGCTGTTTCTGAAATAACCCTGGTCTGTGGGGCTTCTCAGACTTACTGGTGCCTTATAGGATACATGTTAAAAATACTTTCTCCCAAAGGGAACTCTGGTGCTATGGTGCCTAAGGCACTTGACTGCTACCAGAAAACTGGCGGTTCAAACCTATCAGCCACTCTCTGGAAGGAAGGTTGGGCAATCTACTTCCATAGTGATACTGCCTCAGAAACCCAAGGAGGGGTCGCTATGGGTTGGATCTGACTCGACAACAGTGGTTTTGTTTTTTTTCCCCAAAGTCAGAGAGATCAGATCCTGTTCCCCTCACTGCAGATAGGTAAATGAGCCCCAAACCAGTCCCACACTGAGACGTTTATGCCCCCCAAATGCAAATTGTACATAGAACTGACGGGTGGCTGAGCCACCTAGTAGTGTGGGGGACCAGTGAGTGATAACCGGGTTGCTGCACAGGCAGCCTGTTGGGGCTGAGGTCAGCAGGGTGCCTGACTGCAAAATTGACCCGAACTCTAGTCTTTTTAGGAGTCCCTGGTGCCATACGTGGTCAACACTCAACTGCTAGCTAAAAGGTCAACAGTTTGAACCCATTCCAGCGTGCCTCAGAAGCTAAGGTCGCAGCCTGACAACCCTGTGGAACAGTTCCACTCTGCACATGTGGGGTCGCCGTGAGTTGGAATTGACTCAGCAGCCACTAACAGCAACATCCGGTCCTGTTACAGCGTGTTCTTGCCCAGTCCTCAAAGTCCCTTGAGGAGTGTGTGTTTCAGACCCTTTGTGTCACAGATGCTCACACTGAGGCAGAAAGATGGACACATGCTGAGCCACCAAGCTGATTAGCGGGCAGTGGAGCTGACACTTGGACCCAGGACTTTCTGAAACGCAAGCTTGGCACTCTCTAAGACGTGTAGGGTAACTGTTAGATTTCAGTTCCTCCCCAAGTTTGTTTTAAAAGTGAGGATGATGACCTAGGATAAGTCACTGATGTAATGATTGTGCCTTTTCATCACCATGCATGATTTCCTTTTTACATGGCTGGCTCTGCTGTCACTGTGTGACTGAGAAGTTCATTGTGTGGTTCTTCTGGAAGTGCACCCACAGCTCCCAACAGTGGCATATGAGCCCCTTTCTGTTATCCTGCCTGCACACACTCCTGTGGGGTCGACGTCGGCCGACTTGGGATTCTCTCTTGGGTTTTCATACAGCTCCTCTGTGAGTGACACCTTCTGTTCCTTTATCTGTCTGGCTAAATCCTACTGTCCCTTTAAGAAGAATCTTTCCTCTTTACAAAAAGTATCACCATTCCAGGAAATCTTCCCTGACCTCCCCAAGCTGGGGTGGGTGTTGCGTCTGTGTCCTGAGTCCCCATCAACCAGACACGTTCTGTCACTTATTATGCTGTGTTGAAGACGTTGATTTTCTCATCTGGCTCCCTCTAATGGACCAGACTGTAGCTCACTGTGATAGAGAAGTGCCTTGTATGAGTTTTACCCCTGGTAGTGAAGAAGTGGCACAGTGATTAAGCACAACTCACTCTGAAGGAGAAAGACGTGGCAATCTGTTCCTATAAAGATGGCAGCCTTGGAAACCGTGTAGGGCAGTTCTCTATCCTACAGGCTTGCTGTTAGGCAGAATTGACTCAGTGGCAATAGGTTTGGGGTTTTTAGAGGGTGGAGAGCACAATGGGGACATTGGTGGTTCAGAAGTGGAATTCTCACCTTCCATGTAGGAGACCTGGGTTTGATTCCCGGCCCGTGCACCTCTGCACAGCCACCACCCATCTGTCTGTGGAATCTTGTGTGTTGCTATGATGCTGAACGGGTTTCAGTGGTGCTTTCAGGCTAAGACCAGGAAGAAAGACCTGGCCGTCTACTTCTAAAAATCAGCCACTGAGAACCCTGAGAGTCACAGCAGTCCAATCTGCAGCTAACTTGGGGTTGAAACAGGATGTGGCAGCATTTAGCTCTTTTGTGCGCACATTGATGGCTCAAGTCGGGGTTCATGATGTGGGTACACTGTGTGTCAGTGGCACGAGTCCTGACTCATGGTGCGGGGTCACCACACATCAATGGCATGAGTCATAAGTCACAGCGTGGGGTCAGTGGTGCAAGTCCTGAGTCATGGTTTGGGATTGCCATGCATCAATGGCATAAGTCATGGGTCATGGTGTGGGGTTACCAAGCATGGATGGTTCAGTGATGGGTCATTGCATGGGGTTCCCATGCATCAATGTCAATACCATGAGTTGTGAATCATGACATGGGGTTATCGTGTGTCAATGATAGGAGTCATGGGTCATGTCTTAGAGTTGCCATATGTCAATGGTGCAGTGGTGGGTCACAGTGTGGGGTCACCATGGGTTGAGGCCAACTCAACAGGAGCTAATAATAACAACAGAGCACACACCATGTACACAGCATAGATGCTCAATGAACACACAAGTCAATGAGCGATCTTATCCAGGGGAGCTGCCTCTGCATCTGCACATTGTGAGACAGGGTGGGTCTCTCTGCTGGTGAATTTCTCAAGGTGACTGTGGGTTACTTTTGCTTACAGTCTCTGTTTTCTCTCCGTTTCCAGACGTGCTCTGTCCCAGTGTCCGTGTGGAAGGAGACCGCTTTAAGCACACCAATGGGGGAACCAAGGAGATCACAGGTAAGGCAAAGTGGCCTCCCACCCGGCTCGCTTGGGTGCTCTCTGCCAAGCCTGCACATGACCCTGCTGGACTTGGGGTGGCCTCGCAGGGCCTGTCCTTATCCCCAACTTTCACAAAGTCCTGATGGAATGACTGGGATGGTGCGGGCCTCAGTGTCATCCACATCTGGTGGCGTGACTGGAGTGATGCAGGCATCAGTCTCACCGATGGGCCGTCCATGGTGAATGTTTGGGATTCTCCTTCAGGAATTCTCAGGCTTTCCCATATTGCTGTGTCATTGTTGGGTGCCGTCGAGTTGATTCTGACTCATAGTGACCCCATGTGACAGAGTACAACTGCCCCAAGGGGCTTCCTAGGCTGTAATCTTTACAGGAGCAGATCACATCTTTATTCCATGGAGCTGCTGGGTGAGTTCAAACTGCCAACCTTCTAGTGGCCAAGTCCTTAACCAGGGCTCCTTGGTTTTCTTATAACCTCTTGCCATTGAGTCAGTCACAACTCACAGCACCCCTAGAGGACAGAATAGAACTTCCCCATAGGGTTTTCAAGGCTATAAATCTTTACAGAAGTCGACTGCCACATCTTTCACCTGCAGAGTGGCCAGTGGGTTCAAACTGCCATCACTAAACAACCCATTTGAATGAATGAGTAAGGAAAGGAATGGGCGAATGAGTAAGTGAATGATTGGCCAGGTGAGCAGAGGCATGGATGATTATGCCCTGGGTGGGAGGTGACTCAGAGGTGTAAACATGTGAGTAGACCCATGAGTGAGAGGACAAGGGGGATGACTGCAGAAATAAAAAGGGCTGAGTCCTGTCGAAGGCAGTCTCTGTGTGACAGACCGCAAAGGCAACCCCAGTGGGGGTGGGGGTGGCTGAGCCTGCTGTCCCTGCACCCTGGGTCCAGGAGCCCTGCTTGGTCCTGAGGCCCTGAGGATGCGTGACCCCAGTGAAGTTTCCTTTCCTCCACCAGCCCAGCATGGAAACCCTTCCAGGACAGGAGCCCTGTTCTCCTTGTTAGCACCTCCTGGGCTCAGGTGACCTCCTCCATCCCACATCATCTCGGGTCCAATTCTTATTTTTTTTTTTCTTTTCTTTTTTTTAAAATTTTATTTTGATTTGGGTGAAGATTTACAGAGTAAATTCACTTTTCATACAGCAGTTCACATATACTTTGTCTCATGTCATTGACCAAAATTTACGATGCAACAGCTCCCCTTCCACTTCCTCCCCATAGTTACCTCTTCCCAGTGTCCATCCCTCCATACTCTCCTGTGCCCTGAGCTGTCTCCCTGTGCATAAGCAGCCCTTCCTTCTCCCATGATTGTTCTCTCCAGGGTGTGTGTCTACTTGAGGTAAATGTTTAACTCACTTGCCTGTACTTTGTTTGGCTGGAAACCACAGTTGTGGGTTCAATTCCAGACCTGAAGGGCAGCTAGGGGCCATAGTCTCAGTGGTTCCACCAGGCTCTATTGGACCAGCAAACCTGGTCCCCACCTTCTTTTTTTTTTTTTTTGCCTCCAAATGATTTTGAGTTTTGTCCCACATTGTTCTCCCTCTCTATGCAGGATCTCCTACATCCCTTCCAAGTGGATGGCAGTGGTAGCTGGGCACCATCTAGTTCTTCTGGTCTCATAGTTGTATAGGTTGCAGATCAGATGGTGTACCAGTCGCTAGGACTGATTGTTTCCATTCATTTTGGTTTTCTTCTTTCTTCTTGACGAGGAGAGACCCATTGTTGCATCTAGATGGCAGCTTGCTAGCTTTTAAGATCCCAGTCGCTACTTGCCAAAGTAGGAGGTGGAACAATGTTTTGTATAGTATGTTATGCCAATTGGGCTTGATGTCCCCTGCGACTATGGTCTCAAGCCCGCAGGATCAACTACTTGGTCGCTCTGGGTAGCTGGCTGTGACCAAGCAATGACCATAACCTTGCCCCTTGTCAGCTCTACTATACCTCTGGGAATTCTGATCACTCACATAAACTTATAGGACCATTGTCTGCCGACCCTATATATGATCTTGGATACACTCCCCATTTAGACATACCTAATTGTTTAGCCTGTCCACCTATCTATCTGTCCATATACCCCTGTTTGCCTTCACTGACAACTCAGTACTGTATGTGCAAAAGGGTTCATATTTGTTGTCTGTACTTCCCATGTACCTCTCTATGTCTTTCTCATCCTCAGTGGTGAAATATTGGTCACTCCCATTTGGTACATTGCCCATCTCTTCACCCAAATCAATATTTATCGCTATCTATCTAACAGCATTCCCTCCTCTCCCCTCCCACCCCTGGTAACCAACAAAGAAAATTTCCTCCAATAGATAAACCTTTCCTTAAGTTTTACAATAACGGACTTATACAATATTTGTCCTTTTGTGACTGACTTATTTCACTCAGCATAATGTCCTCCAAGTTCATCCACATTATGCAGTGTTTTGCAGATTCTACGTTATTCTTTAGCATTGCATAGTATTCCATTGTGTGTATGTACCATAGTTTGGTTATCCATTCCTTAGTTGATGGACATCTAGGTTGTTTCCATGTTTTAGCTATTGTAAAATAGTGCTGCGATGAACATCGGCGTGCATATATCTGTTCTTGTCATGGCTCTCACTTCTTTAGGGTATATACCTAGTAATGGGATGGCTGGGTCAAATGGTATTTCTAATTCCAACTTTTGAAGGAATCGCCATACTGCTTTCCACAATGGTTGTACCATTTTACAGTCTTGGGTCCAATTCTAACCCCTTGTATAAGAGAGCTGAAGTCTCCTGTCCTAGCCAGTGAGCCCTATGGGGTCAAGACAAGGTGTGTTGGTAGCGGATCCCAGGGGCCCTGCCGTTTCAGTGTGCCCTGCAACTTAACGAGGACAGCATCTGCATCTTTGTGCTGGAAGGATTCTTCCAGAATGGTGGAAGGCTGCTCTGCCTGTGTGAACAGCAGGCAGAATATGCCAGGGTGGATCCTCTCCAGGGGCAGCCCTTCAACTGTGACCACCAGGAGTTGCTGGAGAAACAGCCCAGTTCTGCAGCCCCTCAGGTGGGGCCGTTCCACGGTCCATGGTTTTGGCCCATTTCCCAGCTTCCCGGCAGATCTAGCTGTGGTCACCCACACTCCTTGTTGGCTGCCTTCTTCTCTCCTCACACCCCTACTTCCCTACTACTAGCTATTTGGGCTTCAGCAAATCCCACAAAGGCAGTGTGTGTCTCTCTTCTCCTGCTAGAGTGCCTGGTATCAGTACAGGCAGTCCGCAGGTTAGGAACGTCCACTTACAGACAACTCGCACTTGCCCTTTAGTGTAAATTTGCCTGATTGAACCAGTCCCTGCTTGCATCATACATTAACTTTCACTTGCTGTGCATGCAGCTTTTAAATCATTGGAAAGGCTTGGAGCCTTTTCTTGCACTGAAAAAACAAAACAGAACAACAACAACAACAACAAAAATGACTTCCATCGAGTTAATTTCTACTCATAGCAACCCCCGTTGCGTTTTTAAGGCAGTAAATCTTTACTGAAGTGGATTGCCCAATCTTCCTTCCACAAAGTGGCTGGTGGGTTTCAACTGCCAACCTCTGGTTAGCAGTCAAATAACTTAGGCACTATGCCACCAGAGCTCTCTTTTCTTATGCTAAAGTGAGACTAAAGAAGAACCATTTGCACCTGTTTAAACTTAGGCACAAATTCTGAAAGACACACTTAGGCACGGATCTCATTTGTAATCCAGGGATTGCCTATATGTAGCGGTTGGGTGCTCAGATAATGGCAATGAGGACTGTCATTATTTTGGCTGATTGCATTTCCTCTGCATGGTGTACCCATCCCCATCTGTCCCCTTGGTGGACTCCTATTCATCCCTCAAAGTCCAGTTCAAGAGTTCATCCTTGGTGAAATCACTTTAGGTTTCCGAAAGTGTCATGGATTGCTGTTAGCATTTTATTCAACGCTGTGGCCTCTGATCAGAGATGCCATGATTTGCTTTCCTGGCCACCTCTCCAGAGAGCAGATGAGCTGTTTGAGAGCAGGATATGGCCACACCCGGCTATTGATCTGTGTGTCCTCAGGGCATAGGATAGTGCCTGCCACTTAGCAGATGCTCAGCAAAGTTTGTTGAATGAATGAACAAGTGAATATATGAATGAAATGAGTGAAAGTAAGAATGAAAGCATGACTCCATGAATGGGTAACCAGTGGGCAGATGGGAGATGGAGAGGAGGAGGCGAGAGAAGGAGGCTTGAGTGGGTGGGTGGGTGAAAGGAAGGAAGGAGGGAGGGAGGGAGGAAGGGAGAGTGGAGGGAGGGTGCGCAGACAGGGAAGGCGGGCACATGAATAAGAGGTCTGCCTCCGTCCTCTGCATGCACAACGCATCCCAGGCTTCGTGGTCGCTCTGTAGACTGGAGACCAACCCAAGAAACCAAATTCATTGCCCTCGAGTGACCCCAACTTACAGCAACCCCCTTTGGGTTTCCGAGGTGGCAAATCTTTACAGAAGTAGACTGCCCGGTCTTCCTCCCACAGAGTAGCTGGTGGGTTTGAACCACTAACCTGGTGAGCAGTCAAATGCCTTAGACACCACACCACCAGAGCTCCTTTAGATTGAAGACCAGGAAGTATTTTTTCTACTTAAAATACCTGATTCTTGGTAGGGAGATTCAGAAGGGTTGTGTGTGTGTGTGTGTGGGGGGGGGACCTTGGAACCTTGAGCCTTGTGGCTCCCTTCCCAGGGGGCTGGGGGCGGGCTACTCCATGCCATGTGTCTAGTCCTGTATAACCAGAAAACTGAACTAGGCCTGGTCCTGTCCCTCTAAGAACTCTCCAGCTGGAGAGGAGGTCGATAGGGTGGGTGAACCTGTGTGGACCCATGAATGACCCAGAGTGACTAGCTCTCCTGGTGGGTCTGCAAGGCTCCCTCCACCAACACCCAGGAGTTGGAGGATCGATGTGCATAGTAGGTGCCAGACCAGGTCTGGGAACACCAGGAAATAGATGAGA